ATTGCCTGAAGGATGTATTATTTCAGAACTCAGAACTGATGAAACATACATTTCTTCCTCTTCCTTATTTTTGTTATGAATTTTGAAATGATTTAGGGGAGACACCATTTTGCAGATAAGAAGCTTTTTACAGCCCTAATTGCAGCTATTTATTTTTTTCTATTGATTTTATATGTTCCTGAATATGTAGCTTGCAAATACAAATTTGACAATGTATCTATGTTCGAGAATGCATGAAAGATTGTTTAAACACAAGCACTGTGTGCTATATCATCGGTACTTTCATGTTATCTGAAACTGTACATCATTTGTCTTTCCAATTGAAAGTAAATATTAATAATATGTCGTTAAGATCCTTCAGAAGTTGACATTATTGAACTCTATTACTCTTTTTTTAGTACGCCTAAGCTAGGATCACAGGTGATAATTGCTAGCTGTGTCAGCAAATCCCCTTTATTCTTGGGAGGGGGAGTTACTTAGTAAGGTTCTTGGTATTGTTAATGATAATACCTAATCTAGGACAACTAGATAGGAATTATTTGGTGATTGAAGTACAGGGTAAAGTAAAAGCTACCATAATAGAACTAGATAGTAACTCTCGATCAAAAGTTTAATGTACTGGGCAATTGGTTCGTGGTAGGAATTGGGTTATACGAAGGATTCCCTATTTATGGATGGGAGATGACTCAAGGTTGAGTAATGGTTTGTATATTGGATTTTAATTTCTTGGTGCTGTAGTTAAATAAGAGAACATGTAAGGTGGTTCTAGACATTGTTTCTAGTTTCATTGGACATCATGCCTGAGATTGGGTATGTTAACAACCATCAACAATTTCTAATACATCTTAAGTTTAAACAAGTACTCTTGGTGAGACAGCTCCATCAAGGAACTTACTTGTTCTTGTCCTCTTTGGAAATTGTGGAAATTTTGTGCTTCAATGATTCAATGCTTTGGAACTAATCATGATACCCTGCGAGCTCCTTCGTAGTTAGCTGACATGATTCGATCACTGCAACACAACTTAGCACATACATTTTCATGATAATATCTGTTTTTCAGTTGTGAAATTGAAATCGTAATCTTAAAGTTTTTTTACATTTTCAGGTAAAACCTCTCTTGCACAGAGGAGTGGCAGCTGTTGAAGAATTACTTGACCCTAGACTCAAATGTACGCTGAAAAATTCGACTCAAGTAGCCCTTCTGTTGTTTGGTGAAAGGCTATTTGCTTGACGTAAAGATTGCTCAGCCTGAAAGAATTAACAATAAATAAGAAACTCAACTTGTGGGGTTGTTCTGGCTTAGATGATGATATTTTTGGTAGTATAGTTAAGCTTTTAGCCTTGTAAAACCTTAGATATAAGATTGAGAGCATTTATTCCAACATAAATTTATTCTGTTTTTGTTTAATTATCCAAAAAAAATTATTTTGTTTAATTGATTTTATTGTAATTTTAGTGTTTTTAAGTGTAATAAAATTAATTTCATTTATAAATTTTTTGTTTTAGTATTATAATGTTATTCAAGTTTCAAATCTTTAATAAGTTCATCATTTCAACTAATATATTTTTATTTTAAAATTTCAAGTTAAGTTATACTTAAATTATTAATCAATTTTCACATTAAAAGTAACTTAGATTTATGAATATTTTAACTCAATTTATATAATTTAATAAAATTATGTTCAATAAGATAATATTTAAATTTAATTTAGTGATTATAAATAAAATTTATAATATAAGAATTATAAATAATATAAAGAATTATAATTAATATAAAAATCAAATTTATAATATACAAATTAGAATTAATATAAAAACTAAATTTCAAAAAGTAATCATATTAATTTAATTATCATAAGTTTAATATAAATTTAAAATAATATAATTATATTAATTGTAACATATTACTTATAAGTCATGACAATATCATATTTCTTTAACATGTCAGATTATTAACAAGTTGAGTCAATTACAGGTCAGGTTGAAAACAGGTCAGGTAATACCAATTATTTACCAGGTTAATCTTGGGTTCGGGTTCATATTAGTCGGATGCAGTTCGGGTTCGAGTATCATATTTTCGGTTCAATTCGGGTTCAGGTCGTTCTTAGGTTAGGTGCAGATCGGGTTCAGACCCATAATTTTCAGGTCCAACTCGGATTCAGGTCAACACCAATTACGACTCGATTCGGTTTCAAATCGCTGCAGCGCAGGTCAAAAACAATTTTAACTCTAGTCGGTTTCAGTCAATTTTACATATTAAGTCAACTTTTTACACGGGTGAGTCCATCTAGTGCCCAACTAATACGTTACAAAGTTGACAAATGTACGATAGATGTGGGCCATGTGGCATAATTTAACAAAGACAACTCAGAAAACTCGTTTTATATATATTTTCCGTACCAAACAATTGGATTAATGAGAGGTCAGTAGCTTGAACACGTAAGATCAAATTTAATTGGAATTTTGTAAGTTTTTATAGGTGAAATAATTATCCAATTCCATAATAATGATTGAGATATTATCGTTTTCTATGATTTAATTCCATTTCGGCCCTCATATTATACAAAAATTTCCAATTTGACGTTTCAAGAAATTTTTTAATTACGTTTGATATCTTCATTTTCATTCCTTCAATTACTTTAATATTTTATAATCTATCATTAAAATAAATGTCACATGTGATCAGTGGTTGATCCATAAATATTTTTCAGGATAGACACATATATATCAATAATACAAACTTTTTATAGGGAATAGACACGAATAAAATTTCAAGTAGACACAATCGGTAAAATGAAAAATTAACCGAATAAAATTTAGATTCCATAATAGATAGATGCCCGCCTTAAGAACATATTGTATATGCCATTGCGCGCGGTCGTATTCGAAATATTTTTAAATTGAAAATAGTACTTTAGATATTGTTAATTTAATAATGCTTTTATGGGATATCTAGTATTTACTATGTGGGTGAAAAATTGATTGAAATGATCTTCTAAGTAAATTAAATCAGGAGTTCTTTTACAGCTATTAGTCTACTTTTTTTTAATTATATAATTGCTACCGGTAAAAAGTTGACAAACAAGAAAACTTGGGCAAAATATACTATGTTTAAATGATCGTTTTAGTGACTAAACTTTAAAAAAAATATAAAATGATCATTAATTTCAAATAATTACAAAATAATCATTAAATTTTATCAAAACATTAAAAAGTATAATTAATTTGTCGAACTTTTACGATCATTCCAATTTCCTATATATATATATATAATTTTTGTTTGACAAAATAAGGGTACAATTGAAATTTTATGAGTGTATAGTATTATAACAATTATTTTTAAATATAAAGATCACGTATACTATTATTATTGAGTTGAATATTTTTCATCCTAAAATCGACATGATCTTATATTTAAAAAATCGAATCAACCTGATATTTATCTAAATTAAAAAAAATCAATTCTATAAGATAGGATATAGTTGAAAATTGTCCAATTTAAGTTAAATGCCCATCCTTAATTAGGTGATTCTCACATTTCAATTTATTCTATAAACAATATCAAGATTTAAACTATTAGCATTGGTTAAAAATCTAATGTCTCATCATATTAGACCAAATAATTATTGATAATATTTTATCTTTTTTAAAATACATATAGTAATAATTCAGATATTTATATAAAAATAATGATAGTAGAAATATAAATTTTAAAAATAAATTATTGTTTAAAAATAATTTAATTAATTTATATTAATCATTGAAAATAATAATGAACAGATTAAATATAATATTAACCATGTATATATATTTATATAAAGGAATACTTATTTTAATTTAATTAACTCATTATTGTTTTCATTAATTTGTCTATAATTAGACAAATAAATATAATGGAATATAGAGAAGAAAACGAAGCGCTGAAATGCTGGCAAAGCGTGTGGGGCCTACTTCAGTGCCGATAGTAACGAACACTCCATTCTGATTTCGCCACGTCATGTAAAAACAATCGCCTATTTTATTGGTGACTGATATGAGTCCATGATCTTACCCGAATCACACAATACAAACTGTTCACGTTATCAAATTGGTCATTAAACTTTAATACTCTTTAAATTTAGCACCAATCTTTTGATATTGGGTTATTTTAGTCAATAAACTGTTAAATCATTAACTATGTATTAATATGATAATTTATTTCTCATTTTTTTTAATAAAAAAATCATTTTCTAGTTGTCGTTGTTTGTTAATTATTACTCGTGACTTATCGTCATTCGTGATAAGATTAATACTTAAGTGTTTACATTTTACTCTTGTTACTTATCATCAATTTTTAATTGAAACCTACTCAAGATCAAATAAAGATTCTTCTAAAGGTCGATATTCTAATTCCTTATTCTCCTAATAAGGTTGTTTTATGAGATTAATTTTGAGGTTTGTTGTTTATATTCTAAAAAAATAACTTTTACAATTAATTTTTTTGAATAAATACCATAACATATCAAACCTAAGCAAATCTCTAAATCCCAAAAATAAATGATTTTTTATGTTTAATTTTGTAAGCTTTAATTTAGAAAAAAATCTAAATGTTGAAGGACGATGACACAAGTTCATTTTTGTATAACTTGGTCGGAAAAGATACAAAAAATAACAATTTTATAACGACAAAAAGTGAGTGAAAATCTTTAATTTTGATAAAGATAATAAGATAGAATAAAAATTTATTTTTTAGCTCCAGGTCAACAGTATATTGGTATGTTATACGTAGAAAGTTTCATGTTAAAATTGAAATATTTTAAAGTTAAATGACATAATCGACAGGTAGACTAAAGTTTAGTGATATAATGCTAGAATTTACCTTTTTATTTGAATATATATGCGCCTTTTCTCGAATTTACCCCCAAAATTAAAACACGTTGGGTCCACTGCAAATACAAACTATAAATCAAAAGATTTAGAAAATAAATAAAAAACCAAAAATAAAAATATATGCTTTTTTCTTCATCTCTGCTCTTCTCTCCTCTTTAGCTGAATCATTCCGTCCTCAGATCCGCCCTCGATCGATCCAAAACCAACTTCATTTTTCGAAACTATTTTTTTTCTAAAAGTAGTTTCCGATCAAATCAAAATCAGTTTGGTTTTTGTTTCGCCATTGGAGCTGAGTTTTTTTCAAATATGGAAAAAACGACGGCGTTTAAAACAGAGGAAGGCGACGGAGGACAGGAGAGAGAAGTATTGTTGAACTGCAGCAACGGAAGCAACGGCAGCGGCAACGGAAACGGCGATCACAAACATAGGCATAAACCTTCAGCCAGCTTCGGTGGGGACGAGAAGGGGATTTTTGAATTTTTCGGATGGGTGTATCATATTGGAGTCAACTCGATCGGTCACGAGTATTGTCATCTTCGCTTCCTCTTTATAAAAGGAAAATACGTTATGATGTACAAAAGAGATCCTCATGAGAACCCCGGTATTGTACGTACCGTCACTTTTCCTGCCCTCCCCCCCTTTTCTTTTGGACTTAATGGAGCTTTTTGATTATGTGTACGTCTTTCATGTAGTTTTTAAGTTATAGTGAATTTGATTTATTCATTTACAATGGAAGAAATTATTTAGGTAGTCTTCCTTCTAATTTGGGTGTTCCAGTGAATGGGTTGAGATTGAGACTGTGTTTTGGGGGTTCAAATATTTGATATATTTCCAATACTGTTGAATTAGTAGAATGAGTTCATAGAATACAAGGCTGCCTTCAGATAATTCAGCTTATGCATGGGGAAAAGAAGGTTAAATGCATTTTTGTTTATGAATCGTTCTGGTTCCTTAAGAAGTTAGTATTTGTTTTCTCAGTAAGGAAATCAGGTCATATTCATAATAAATATAAAAGTTAAATGAGAGAGAACTTGCAACTTTTTGTCTGCAACTTATTTATTTGCTTCTAGGAGGGCACCCTTCAGAAGAGAATGCAATTCATAGAAGGTTAGATGCTTTGGACTTTGTAGAGAGCTGATTAAAGTTCATAACACAATACAATAATCAACAAGATGCGGCAAGTCTATCAAAAGAGTAAAGAAATTACTCATGTTATTGTTCTTGTTAATATGTGGCCTTTCATGGTTACATGATTTAACTTATGAATTTAAGTTCGTTATTGAATTTAGTTTGACTTTATTTATAAAAGGTGTCTCTAAATGCCTCTTACTCAACTCTTGGGCCTTGGATAGAGTAGAACTGTCTTCTATTATGAGAAAGGGACAACTCGTGTAGGCCTCCAATTACAAAGTTCAAATTCAAGGCTGTTTTTTCTTCCTTTCCTGTAATTGCATTTAATAGGAGACTATTTTTATTCACTTATTATTATGATGGTGATATTTGAGAGATCTTCAATTACAATATTATATTTGGAATTTGTTTTCAATTCTCTTGCTTGGTTTTCATTGTTATCTATTGCCAATGTTCTTGAAGGAATAATTACTTAATTTTTGTGGATCTGACCATTCTTCCAATTTAATTGTTTAAGAATTCTTGGTTTCTGATATGTTATCTTTTCCAGAAACCTATTAGGAAGGGTGTTATTGGACCTACATTGATGGTGGAGGAGTTAGGACGGCGGAAAGTCAATGATGGGGTAAGTCTGTAGTAATCATTATTTGCTTAGTTCGTTTTTGTCTTTCACTATTATTTTTCTTTCAAAAACTTGCTTTTGGTTTATTATGGTTCTTATTCTTCTTTTCCAGTTTTCTTTTTCTCACTTGCTCTTTCTGGTGGTTGATTGTTTAAGCTTTTTTCGGTTGGATCGCTTCATGATTTTTGAGGGCTATTTTGACGATTTTATGGTTAATCAATCTTCACGCTGTGCTTGACAGTTTTCTTCTGTTAACCATTTGTAGGATCTTTATGTCATACAGTTTTACAATCGATTGGATGAGTCCAAGAAAGGAGAAGTAAGTTTGTTTCACAGAATTTAATTGATAATGATTGCTGGAGTCGGCTTTTATTGTGCATTAGTCATATGGTATTGTGTTGGTATGTATAATCTTTGAGTTTATCCAGTTTTTGTAATTTCTTAGTTTACAAGTTATTATACAAATGTTTTGGACGATAGCATGCTTATATTGGCTCATATTTCAACCTCTTCCTTGAATTATTTTTCAATCATGTCAAAAGATATTAAATCCTGTGGTTGGGTTCAGTAACTGATTGAGCAGGTTTATAAGTATTTCCTCTTGTCTAGGATGTAATATAAAAGGGAAGACACAATTCTTGACAAGATAAATGTGATTGGTCCAGTAATCAAAACCACATATTTATTTTTCCTTTAAGTTTTGGCTGAGTCCTTCAAGTCTTATAGTGAAGCCATGGTGCATTTGTTGGTTCCTCTGGTGATGCTAATGCATATCATAGGACCAGGAAAGTGTCAGTGTTTACTTTTCTACACAGAGAATTAACTCTTTAAGTTACTTTTCTTTCTTATTAATGGTTAGTTTGTCTTGTGTGCCGAAGTGACTCATGACTAACTTGGTGTATTTTGTCTTCAAGATTGCTTGTTCTTCTGCTGGAGAAGCTCGGAAATGGATGGAGGCATTTGACCATGCCAAGCAACAGGTATTTGGAAGTCAGTTAAAATGATCTGATTCACATATGTGGTTGCTTTCTTAGAAGAGATGAATTTGTTTTCCTCATGAATTTTCTTATGTATTCACATAAATTGCTACCTATTTCTACAGGCTGAATATGAGCTTTCAAGAGGAGGTAGTACCAGAAACAAGTTAAGCATGGAGGCTGAGTAAGACATTTTTCCTTGACTATCTTGCTATAGTAGCGTACTTGAGTTTGCTAATAATTAAAGACTGATTTTAGAACTTTTATGGATACTATATTTCTTAAGATTGATGGGGGAAATTCCATTAATAGATTTCAATTGATGGGTTGAGTAGATACAAAGAACACAAGGTACTTATCTGTGAAAGTAATGAAGGGCAGTATAACTAGATTGTTCTGTGATGTTTACTTGAGACTAAAATTTTGGTTTTGGTATTCAGTTCAACATATATGTTTATTTTGACTATGTAGCTAAACTGTAAGATATACTAGCTAGTAGCCACCTGTAACAAAATCAAAATTTCTTCATGCTTCTACAAATTATACTTTTTCTTACTTACATTCTTTTCTGGAAGAATTATCAATTGCTCTGCCTGTTTTCTTCTGAAGTATTGATTTGGAACATCGACCACGAGTAAAGCGGTATGCACACGGACTAAAGAAACTTATAAGAATTGGAAAAGGTGAGTTGGTATTTTTCATGAATATATTTTTAGGCCATTGCACCTTTTAATATTCAAAAAAGACTAATATGTTCACTTTGTGGTATAAAATAACCTCTTAGTGTATCACAGTTAGTCTTCTTCCTCATGTAAAATATTACTGAGAACTGTTTCAAATGCTGTTTATCATGTGCAGCTATTACATATTACCTATAAAATTATAGTTGAATCATGGTAAGCTAATGCTTCACGCATTGGTCTTCAGATAAAAAAATGCTGCATTCCAGGGTCCACCTTCTGCAAAGCCTATATGGTTTTGTATCAGCTGTCTTGCTGAACTTACCAAATCTTAAATGAAGGCGATAAATGAAGCCTATATGGTTTGAAAATTTCTAACAAACCTTTTGCTTTCTTTGACATAGTTTTGATGAGCTTGGAACTTTACTGGGAATTCCTCCTAATAAGGTAGAATTCTTATGTTAGAGAAATCTTAGTTTTCTTCTGATGGAGAGAGATAGTGACGTTGAGAGAGTAAAATTGAGAGGGGAGTTTTCTTCAGAGAATGTTTGGACGGTGTTCGTTGATCATCTCAGTAAAAGAGTGTCTCGACGAGAGTTAAGGGAGTTGTTTTCATCTCACGGTCCGGTAGTCAGAGTGTTCATTCCCAGAGAAACAAGGAATCCGAAATACAAATTCTTCACTTTTGCTTTTGTGCAGTTTGGCAATGAGGAAAGTCTAAGAAGGGCGATAGCCAAACTGAATGGTTCGATGATTGATGGTTGGAGGATTTCAGTGGGTACTGCAAGATACAAGGATGCTAGGGTGAGGTCAGTCGGGAAGAACACTTCTTTGGTGATGCCTTCAAGGTCGAACACAGAAGATCTTTCAAGGTTCAAAGAGAAAGGGGTTATTAACAGGAGTGTAAGGGATACAAGATCTTACAAGGAGGCCTTACTGTCTGATAGATTGAAGAACAATGCATCGGACCATAGGGATCGGTCGATCGATGGTTTCAACAGGAGGAAAGGTATAAAAAATAGTTGGGAAATGCATATTCCGTCTGAGAGCTCTAGTTGGGTGAAGAGATCATTAACGGGGATCATCAAACATTCTTTTGAGTTCGAATTAGTCCAGAAGGCCTTAGTTAATGAAGGTTTTGATGTCCAGATCTCTAGATGGGGTTATGTCTGGAATTCGTGTGTTATTACATTTAAGTCGACTGAAGAATTGATGGATGCATGGCTAGAGAAAAAGGAGGAGTTATTTTTCTGGTTTGATAGGTTGGCACTTTTATTGAACGATGATGGTATTCCAATGGCTTTTTGCCTCGTACATCTGTTTGGGGTTCCATTGTTATGTTGGCAAAATTCCTTTTTGGAACGGGTAGCAGGAAAGTGGAGATTGGTGGAAGAAATTCATGAAGATACAGTTATCAGAGCAGACCTATCGATGGTGAAGATTTTGGTTAGGGTGGCCAGCCCTTATGACGTCCCTGAGGAGATAACTATTGGTTCCTATGGAAGATCGTTCAAAGTTAAGATTAAGCTGGGTTCGGTGCTTGAGTATTCTTCCGTTTCCTTCAACAAGTCGCTGGTGGGAGGTTCTGACAATAGACAACTTGGTGAGGAATTTTCTGGAGACAAGGTTGACAGTAGTCTGTCAGATAGCATGGAAAGTGCTGAACGTTCAGAAGAAAACAGCAGACAAAAGGTAGATATTTGGTTTGACCAAGGAGCTAACACGGGTTTGGTTGGAGTTGGTGAGGAAATTCAACTCCCAACGTTTAACAAAGTTGGGAAAGGCATTAATTGTGTGCTGACAGCGTGTCAGGATCTTGGGACTAACAATTTTGGTGAATACGCGGGTTTGGGATGTAGATTTTCAAATTTTTCGGCTGATGGGTCTATAGCCCAATCATCAGATAATGGGCAACTTGGTTCTCCACCTCTAAAAATTATTCCAGCTGGGCCTGGTGTTAAGCTGGATAAATTTGGGAAAATGGACCAGAAGCAGTTTCTGGTTGAATCTGCAAACTCAAAGGAAGATAAAAATGGAGGTCTGCCACTTTCTGGTTTGAGAAAGTGTTCTAGAGGATTGGAATCAAATTTAGAGGAAAAGCCGATTGACTACATTTTATGTTCTGGAAGTAAGATTTCCAGGGGAAGAACGCTTGATCGATCCAACTCTCCATTGACTACAAAGAGTGAACCGTTGGATAAGAGAAGTATTAGCTTCAAAAGGGTCTACAAGAGATCCAGGGAGAGAAGACATTGGTTAGAGAAAGATGAAATAGTTGTTCCTCGAGAAGAGGAATCTCTAGAGAGGCTAAATGGGAAGATTTTGGATCCTAATTCAGTTCTGCCGGTCAGTGCAGTAGCAGAACCTAATTTGGAAGGCTGTATGGGGTCTACTTTGGAGAGACAGGTTGTTGACAGCAGTTTGGATAGTATGTGGGAAGGGTGGCACTTAGAAGGAGATAGTTATTCCTTCAACTCTATGTCCTTTAATAGAAGAGCCAAAAGATTGTTGACCAGATTGGCATTGGATCAAGTTAGCATTGAAACAGTTTCTTCTTCAGATTTTGTTGTTCTTTTGGAGGAAGCTATAGCTACTTGGGAAATCAGTAATGGATTGGGTGTGTCTTTCAAGGGTGGGAAATCAGCTTTTTTGGAGAAAATCATAAAGTTGGAGGAGGATTTGAGGCTGGTTTGATTTTCGGTGTTTATTGGGTTTTCTAATACTTATTTGAATCATGATGAAATTTCAATTAGCCATTATTACGTGGAACGTTAGGGGTTTGGGAAGGAAGGAAAAACACAGAGCTGTTCAAAATCTAGTTTTAAAGAGACGTCCTTTTCTTCTTCTATTGCAAGAAACAAAAGTGGAGAAGGTTCAGAGACAATTTCTTAGGAGAAGTGGTTTGAATTCTCTTCAAGGTGTTGCAGAATCTCCAGCAGTGGGTTCTTCTGGAGGGCTATTGAGTTGCTGGGATGAGTGCTCTTTTGAAGTTGACAACCTTATTATAAACAGAAGGTTTATTGCAGTTTTTGGAAAGTTTCGAACTTCACAGTTTAGGTGTGGTTTTATTAATGTTTATGGGCCTAGTATTGAAGAAGAGAAAGCAAGCTTCTTTGAAGAGTTAGCTGTTTTTATTTGTGGACTGAATATCCCTTTATGTGTGGGAGGTGATTTTAATGTGCATCTTTCTGAAGAAGAGAAGGTGGGGAGAGCTCCAAACAGAAGTTCAATAAGAATTTTCAGCCAATTTCTGCAACATACAGGATTAATTGATTTACCTTTACATGGGGGCAGATTCACTTGGTGTAACAACCAGGATTTACCCACCTATGTTAGACTGGACAGGTTCCTCGTTGATGTTCATTTCCTAGAAGCATTTCCTGATGTTACACAATACTTGTTGCCAAGGTCAGTGTCAGATCATAATGCTGTTTTTCTGGAGAATGAGGGGGTCAGTTGGGGGAAGAAACCTTTCAAACTCTTTAATTATTTGATGGAAGAGGACGGTTTCCAGAATTTAGTTGAGTCTACTGTTAAAGAATGCAAGTCTGATCAGAGGAAAACAGGAATTTTATCTATCCTGAAATCTACTAAACTGTCGATCAAACAATGGGCGGGGAAGAGAGACCATTTTCCTTCTGTAGAGATTACAGATTTAGAAAAGAGGATTCACTTGGAAGAAGTGAACTTGCAGCAGAGGCAAGGTACATATGTTTGGGACAGAGGATCAGATTTGAACAATATGAGATCAGAATTATGGAGGTTGTATAAGATTGAAGAACAAATATGGTTTCAAAAATCGAGAGCTAGATAGGTGGAAGAAGGGGACCACAATACAAGATTTTTTCATACTTGTGCGTTGATTAGGAGAAAGAGGAATTCCATGAATGCTTTGAATGTCAATGGAGAGATAACTCAAGATCCATCTGTCATCAAAGCTTGTGTCAAAGATCATTTTTTTGGAATTTACAACTCTAGTTCTACTTTGGAAGTAGAAGATATGAAGATGAATTTTTCAAAAATTTCAGTGGAGCAAAGTAATATTCTGGAAAAAGAATTCACGGAGGAAGAAATATGGGAGACTCTACAATCATGTGATAGCAACAAAGCTCCCGGCCCGGATGGTTTTAATATGGGCTTCTTCAAGAAATTTTGGGTTGTTCTTAAGGTTGATATTCTGAAATTCTTTCATAACTTTTATTCAGGGAAAGATTGGGAACATGGAGTAAATCATACTTTCATTACTCTTATCCCCAAGGTGGCCAATATTGGTGGATTAGATGACTATAGACCTATAAGCCTTGTAGGAGGTTTGTACAAGATCCTCTCAAAATGTCTTTCGAGGAGATTAAGGAATAGCATTTCTGATGTAATAAGCCCTATGCAGTTTGCTTTCATTCCAGGTCGTCAAATTCTGGATTGTTCTCTTATAGCCAATGAGGGGATTGATTTTTGGAGGAAAAAGGGACTCAAAGGATGTGTGTTTAAAGTGGATTTTAGAAGGGCATACGACACTGTGGATTGGTCTATTCTTTTTAAGGTTATGGAGAAAATGGGTTTCGGTTCTAAATGGAGAAGTTGGATAAAACAATGTGTTACTACTGCTTCTATTTCAGTTTTGATAAATGGGGTACCTTCTCAGGAATTTCCTATGGCAAGGGGTCTCCGCCAGGGCTGTTCTCTTTCGCCCTTGCTTTTTAACTTAGTTGGGGAACTCCTAAATGTCTTGCTCTTAAAGGCTGTCTCTGATGGATTGTTTTCTGGTCTGCATATTGGGAGGAATGAGACTGCTTTCAACTTATCTCATCTGCAATTTGCAGACGACCTAATTATTTTCTGTGGGGCTTCGAAAATGGAGATTTCAAATGTTAAAAGGGTCTTAAGAGTGTTTGAAGTTATGTCTGGTCTGCAGTTGAATCTTAAGAAAAGCAAGTTATTTGGTGTTAATACGCCTACAGAGGAGGTGGAGGAGTGGGCGTCGTCTATTGGCTGTGCAGTGGGGAAATTTCCTTCTGATTATCTAGGTCTGCCGCTTGGTGCAACACGGAATTCAACCTCTCTTTGGGATCCGGTTGTTTCAAAATTTAACAACAAACTAGCAGGTTGGAAAGCTGCCACCCTTTCCTTGGCAGGGAGATTAGTTTTGATTAAATCGGTTCTCTGTTCTCTTCCTACGTACTACTTGTCTATATTCAAAATTCCATCATCCGTAACTTCTAAACTCAACTCAATCATGTCTAAGTTCTTATGGGGAGGTGGAGCGGAGAAAAATAAGATTCATTGGGTTAGTTGGCTTAACGTGTGCAAGCCAAAGGAGGCTGGTGGTTTAGGAGTGTTAAATATTAGCAATATGAACAGAGCACTATTGGGGAAATGGTCTTGTAGATTTGCTAATGACAAGGATGTTGTTTGGAGGAGAATGATCTGTTCAAAATACAATATTGATCCTTTTTCCTTATTGTTCAATAGCAAAATCCCAGCTCAAGCTTCTTGGATTTGGAGCTCGGTGGTGAATTCTTATTTTAAAGAAGACTCTTTTGGTTGCTATTTCCGCAGCATGTTCAGACTAGAAGTTGGGAATGGTCAATTTATTCAGTTTTGGCAGGACAAATGGGCAATGGACTGCCCTCTTAAGGTTTCTTTTCCGAGGCTGTTCGCAATCTCTACAAACCAGTTTGGAAAACTGATTGAATTTGGCGAGTTCAGTTCTTTGGGATGGATTTGGAATATTCAGTTGAGGAGAAGCTTAGCCGATTGAGAATTTGAACAGTGGGCTAACCTGATGGCTATCATTTCTAATTTTTGTCTGTCTAAAGAGGCAATCGATGGTCTGATTTGGAAAGGAAACGGAACTGGTGTCTATTCTACTAATTCATGTGTGAAGACTTGTTCTTTGGCTCAGAAGGATGATTATGGTTGGAAGAAATTTGTGTGGAAAGGTCTGGTGCCACCAAGAGTCGAGGTATTCATGTGGCAGGTAGTTCTCCAAAAACTGCCAGTGAGGTCTGAACTGGTTAAGAGAGGGGTTACGGGTATAACAGATCTTTCTTGTCCTCTATGTAATTTGGAGGTTGAATCTTCTTCTCATTTATTTTTCTCGTGTTCAGTTGTGTGGTCTCTTTGGAACAAATTTGTGCAGTATTGGAGTCTTTCTGTGGTTTTTCATACAAATGCGCAGAAGTTTCTTCAAGCTTGGGAAGATCTAAATCCTAGGTCTGCTATTTGGAAGTTTATTCCTGCCGTTGTTATTTGGACTGTTTGGAAAGTAAGAAATAATATTGTTTTTGATAGAGGGAAGTTTGACCATCTTAATCTATTTTTCCTAGCAAGAGTACGACTTGCATCTTGGTTCTTAGCTAAGTTTGCAGATTCTGTTATTTCAACGGATTCTCTAATCGGGACCCTTCTCTTGGGGATTCATGCTTTCTTCTCAACAAATCGATTGTTACTACAATTCCTTGGTCCCCCCCTCCTAAGGGCTTTGTAAAATTGAATGTGGATGCAGCTACAAATTCTGATTGGAACAGCAGTGGAGTTGCGGGTATTCTAAGAGATGAGGAAGGTCTTATTCTAGGATCTTTTAAGGAGGCCACGGGTCCAGGTCCACCTATTATGATGGAGCTAAGGGCTATCCAGAAGGGCTTAATTTTCTTTGATTCAGTGAAAGGAGGTATTAATGGGCGTTTGTTGTTAGAATCAGACTGCAAACTGGCAGTGGATTGGGTCAAGAATGGAACTTTCTGCCCTCAGATTTTTGTCATTCTTGTCAGGAACATAACAATTAAGCTAAAAGAAGTTGAGGGTGTTATTAGATGGGTTGCTCGGACAACCAATATTGAGGCTGATGGGTTGGCTAAATCCGCCATTGGCTAATTCCAGTGTGTCTTAGGGGTATTTTATGTTGGGATTTTCAAATTGTTGTAAGGGGCTTATCTTCTTGTTGTAATCTTATGTATTTTCATTAATGAAGTTTAAGGCACTCTTTTCCTCCTTCCTCTGAAGAAGGAACTCATTATAAGTTCCTTATTCAAGAAGGGGGTTTTTAACGAGGCCTACAATTCCTATCCAAAAAAAAAAGATAATGGTTTCTTAAATTTGAACATAAGTTGGTGTTAGAAAATTTCAGCAGTTCAAGTGTGCGTTTTCTGTCATGTAAAGCATAAAAAAAATCCTTGAATAAATGTTTTGTGAAAAAATTATGGTTTGGAGAGACTGAAAAGGCATTACTGTGTCATATTCAAGCAGGTAACCATCTGAGGAAGTGAGAAGTGAAGTTTAGGAATAATTGATATGAAGTCTCTTTTTATTTATTTTAAAATTTAAAGAAAATACCTTTTTATGCTTCTAATATGTACGTCTTAATGCTTTTTCAACATTTTATAATTATTTTATATTGCTGAGTAAAACTTATAGTTTTCTTTTATTTTGGCTGCTCATAGGTCCAGAGATGCTTTTGCGGCAAACCTCAAGCTTGGGTGGTTATGGTACATCAGATGGATACTTTGAAGGGCAGTTTGGAGATGCAATTGAAGCACATGAATGGAAATGTGTTCGTACGATCAATGGTATGCTTATACATTTTTCTTTTGGTTAAACAAACTTCATTAATCCAAAAGAGAAAAAAATACAAGATATTAAATTGTAACAAATGCCGATAGGTTTAGACTTGTTGGATTGGAGCAATGATATGTAAAAGCACTGTAGACAATAACCCATGCAGAACTGGAAAACTGTTATGATGCATTCATCATACTGTCACTGTTAATGGTTTACTGCAATCAACCGCGTCCTTTAAACAATTCTATTTGCTTTATCATGTAATCTGCCTGATTCCCGAGCATGTTGGCAGAAGAATTAAAAATTTCTTCTCATTAAGATCTGGAGAATGAAAGATTTGATTATTTGTAATTTACTTTAAGTATCTCATCATGCTAAGAAAATGGAATGGTCCTAATAGAGAAACAATTTTTGTATAACCATCTAAAAGTTTGCTTTCTGATTGGTTTCAGGTATTAGAATCCTTGAGGATGTGGCTGATTCTAAGGTATATAACATCATACTTATTCCACCCCCCCTTTTAATTTATTTAGGAAAAGCATCTTGATAGATTTTCCTGCATGTTTTTTCGAAAGTTTGGAACTTTAGCCTTACTCCATTCATATTGAAAAAAATTGTACACGAACGTGAATGATAAAGCAACATTAATTATTGACTTCACAGTTAATTCGTAGTGCCAAACATGCAGTTTACAGATACTGCTAATTGAACTTGTAGATCTAAATTTCTCAATGTCTGTGTTTGTTTCTGCAGCTCTATTTTGTGTTAAAACAATAATTGGTTAATCAGCCTTATGTTCCTAAACAATATCAAAGTTTTAAATTTCTCTTTATCCGATGAATGACTCAAATCTCTTCTTTAAATGATCTTTATATATTTACAGAATGGAAAAGGTGCCCTTGTAAAAGCTGTTGCTCTTGTAGATGCAAGTGCAGATACCGTTTTTGAAGTAATCTTAAATCTGGACCGTCGTAAGAGATATGAGTAAGCTGTTCCGTCTATGTTCCTTGATTTCATATTCCTGGTATGTAAGTTTAGCTTCTCTACTAACTATCTTCACAGGTGGGATACGGTGACTGCTGACTTGGAGCTGATAGATTCTTATGATGGACACTACGATGTTGTTTATGGAATATATGATCCAAAATATCTTACTCGGTAAGTTTTTCCAGAAGGGGACTCCTACTTTTTTTGAAGAACCATTCCTCCAATGTTTAGTCCACATGTAAACATATCAAGTGGTTTTCATCAAGCCAATTCAGAGTTTGCACCTATGATTGATTGATGTATCCTCAATTTTTTGTTTCTCTTTAAAACAGATAATGATAAGGTTGAACAATATTTATTTTTCTCTTTAAAACAGATAGTGGTAATTAGAGGTTGAACATTATTAATTTCCTCAGTTAATATTAAGTTAATCAAATTGGCATGAATCTATATTGTATCTTCTGTCATATGCTTGCATTTATATGTCATATTACATGTTTTCTAGATGGAAATCCAAGAGAGATTTTGTCTTCACTAGGCAGTGGTTTCGAGGGCAAGATGGAACATACAGTAAGAAAGAAAATGCTGATAATATTTTTAGTTCACTAACTTGCCTCTTTTTTTCTCATGCATGTTATATGTTTGTTTTGGCAGCAATTTTGCAACTTCCAGCTGTACATAAGAAGCGACCTTCTAGGTCTGGATATCGGCGTACAACAATTAATCGTAAGAATTTGTATTCGTAGTTGGTCTCTATTGCATGAATACATTGTGCATTTAAAACAAGAGAAAGTTCTGTATTTCTGCTTTGCATCTCTCTTCTTTCTTTCTATGCATAAAATTTTATAGGGATTGATTGATCCAAATAAATGTGATTATTTTTGTATGTTTAGAAAATGCTGCTTTTAGTCGTCTGGTTTCCATTTTGTAGCAATTCAATTGTTCATAAGGTAGTGCTAGGGCTGTGGAGTACTGTGAGATGTCTTTTATAGTTTTCATTGGTAAAGACACCCCGTGGTATAAATCTTGCTTATAACTCTGTTCATTATGTGTATCTCTTTATTTGTGGATGGCAGCATCTACATGGGAGATTAGAAGTTTAAATGCACCCATGGGTTCAAACATTGCAAAATGTCTTCTAACACATATGTTGGAGTTCCATACTGAAGGATGGCTTCCATGGAAGAAAAATAGCAGCTCAAAGTTTGAAAATACCATCCCATATGCTTTATTATCCCAAGTGTCAGGTTGAGCTATCTAATCAAGTTCTTATTATCTGGCTTATGGTCTCATACTAGTAAGTAATGGCTTAGGAAATCATGTCTTATATCTCTATTTGAAAGCTGGGTTTTAGAGTTCTTTTTCATTTTAGAGACATGATCAGCTAAGAAAACCTAGCTACACTGTTCTTTCATTTATCTCTTAAGTGGTAAATTTTATTGAGCAGGATTGTTGTTTGACTGAACCACGTTATAGATATATCATGAGTATACATATGATTTTCTGACGATGTAACATGTAAGTAATACATTTCTTTCCTAACATTACACACAGACATGGGCTGCTAACAACAATGAGAGCAGGAATGAAAAGCCGAGTCAAAACCTGCGGGATTTTGTGGCTTATATCATTTATGCCTCTGCTTCTGTGTAGTTATGTTTCCTTGTAAATATGTTTCAGGGTTAAAGGAATATATTGGAGCAAATCCATCACTGAGTTTTGAATCTTCCACCATGGTTGTCCAGTCAAAACTTTCTGATGTTTCAACTTCCAATAGCGACTTTGAGGATTCAGATGTGCGGGATGAATTCTATGATGCAATTGCTGGTGGTTCTTCTTCATCTTCAGAAGATGAAGAGAGTGAGGATGATGCAGACAAGAAGGTAATTCCATTGTGCCTCATTGGAAAACACAAGTGGCTTCTCTCATTCCAAAGAAGAGTTAAAATTTGTTGTACTATTTGATCTTGCTGAAATATTAATTGTTTTCTTAAAATCTTCTCTCATTGATAGCTTGCTCTCAACTTTGTCAGGAAAGGAAAATTAAGCTGAAGAATGTATCTTGGGCCATCTCAAGCTTAGCTTTGAAGCGAGCTTCAGGTTCTTGTCTTAAATTTTGTATCGGAAAAGATCAGTCTGATTTTACTTTTTTACTCTTATTTTAAAGGGACAACTTATTGAGGAAATCATTCGCTACCGAGTTATTACGTATACTAAGTATAAGGTCACTGCATATGCAGCTCCTGATGTAAATAAGGAATTGGATCCAAGTGTACCTCCTGTCCATTTCGATCCAAGCCAATTCAATGGTTCCCTCCCTAAAGGAAAGGATGAGACTGGCTCAAATTGTTGGACTTCTCCTAGTGGTAGGGGATTTATGATAAGAGGAAAGACTTACTTAAGAGATAGTGGCAAGGTGTGTTTGTTTTCTTCTAAATCACATGTATTTGCCATGTTGTTTTGTTTGTTTTGATGAGTGCTTTCATCTATTTATTTATATCATCAAAGCATGAATATATATATATATATATATATATATTGATTTCCAGAGTTCGATGTTTGGTTATTGGAACTAAGAGTCCAACAATCTACCAACAAACTACATGCTTGTTGGCAAAAGATTGAAGCTTGACTTTCTGGTATATTATTATGGCAAAAGCAATGGAAATTGGAATGGCAATCGGTGTATGTTTGATTGTAGTGCTCTACTCATTCATTCGGATCTCATTCTGAGTTGATAAGTTTGCTTCTCTTTGACCGTCATTAATTCTGTTTATGATGGGTCATGGATGTGATTTAATTTCCTTTTAATGTCTGGTTTCTAAGATGACTGACTGGAATTGGCTTTACATGTGTATGTTCTGGTGGTATTTGCTGTCTCACTGCTGTATTCTTCATTTGATTTAAAAGTTGTGACCCTCTGGTTTAATTCAGTCATTTTACGTGCTTTGTTTGAACTCTTATCACATTTTGATTCATTTATTAGTTCTAGCTTTCATATTTTGCGAGTTCTTGTGTCTTGGCTTTCTTTACGATGAAAAATATATATTTTTGTTTTGTTTCTGACAGGGACATCATTTTGGTTTATTTTCTAATTTTAGCTTTTATAATATGTGAGTTCTTGTTCTCTTGACTTGATGAGTTTCTGTGTCATAATGTGCTGTTTTTAATGCAAATCAGAAATTATGGTTTTCTGTATGATGGAAAAAGATTTCTTTTTGTTTCATCTGACAGAGTGACAACCCTCCTTTGGGTTTTAGTGTATCAGTTGTGCTTCACATTCCTTGTTCTTGCTGAGATACTGTTTGTTCTGCAGAGAATCAATTAATATTGTAAATCTTTTTGCAGATCATGGGTTCAGATCCCCTTCTCACGCTAATAGCTGTTGACTGGTTCAAAGTTGATACACCCACGGATAAAATTGCATTGCATCCTAGGTGTCTAGTTCAGGTATTATACTAAGCAAATTTGTGCATTTGTTGTTTTTATTTATTTTTCATTTACTTTGACGATTATTGTGCAGGAAAGCCTTACTACTATAGTTTGCTATTATCCTTCTGGATCTGTTCATCTTACGTTCTCAAAATTTAATGCTAAAATCTATTAAATGGAACAGTAGTATTTCACACTTTTTCATGCTATGGGGAAGCTGCTCCTATGCTAAAGGAATACTTTTCAATATGAGTAGAATTTTATATATTTTGACGTTTTGCTTATAGGGTATTTATTTAGCATTGCTTCTGTAGATAATTAAATAAATGAATCAGGACTCATCTAGCAGGAAATCAAATTTGTTATGCTTCTTACTATTTATTATTTTTACTTTGACATTTCTGAGCTGGAATAAGATGGTTGCCTTCAGATGAGGTTTTTCTTAAGTTTTTCTAAATTTGATTAACCTTTTAGACTGGATGAAACAATTTTGACCGACATCGGAAAGCTTCAAAGTTTTCAGTTTTTACGGTGATCTATAGTAATCGTTTCTTCTATTTATATCTCTGGCTAACAATAATAATAAAAAAAGCCCTTCCCTCCTTAAATGGTTTCACTTAACACCATTCTTTTCAAAATAATATGTTTCTTGTCTTATCTTTTCTTGTACACTCATTCGGCCTTTTGCAGCATCCTTATCCCAACTACACTAATTTTTCTGTATTATGAGACTTGGCTAAACAACTAACTACCAAAATGTCAGGTTGACTTGCAATTATTAAGATTTTTGTTCCAGTTTGGAGATTTTCTAATTTGAGGATCACTGAACTGGCATTTATACTTGGAATATATCCAGCAGCAAATAGTTTGCTACTCCTACAGGTTGTTAGAGACTATAAATTTGTTTTTGGAACTGTCAAACTATCTATTTTTCCATCTTTATATTCCTAGTATACGGGAACATTTTTGTTCTACTGATAGAGAACACCTTTGAGATATTCTCTATCACACAGGACACCAAAAGTTCCTTTCCTGCTGGAACAAGCTAATTTTGCAAATATTTTTGCTCTTGCGCGTGAATTTGTGTAATTGAAAAACAGCTTGAGTTAAGACCTAACTGATATTTTTCATTTTCAGACAGATGCTGGAAAAAAGCTTCCATTTATCCTTGTGATTAACCTAGAGGTATGTATGCAGATGCATCTTAACCTCTTTTATTGGTGCTGGGTGCATGCTCTTGAGCGAAATATATATCATATACTGGAAATTTTTATTAGACTCTTTCATTGGTTATGAAGAAGACTGTTCCATGTTAAAGACTACAGCAGAAAACTAACCATTAAAAGATGAAAGTTTTGCTCGGGACATATAAGTTTGCTGATGCTTAGGCCATAGTTTAAAAAAGAATATTGAGTTCATTTAAAGAAATGCTAATCAATAAATAGGCATACTTGTACTAGCGGATGATATGAAGACTACGGTGGAAATATTTGAACAATTTTTACTACTATTAATGGTTGACTAAGATCACTCTCTGGCCTTTACACATCCCCTTCTAGCATCCACTTTTCTCCAAAGAATACCGACTTTTGAGGATGAAAATGGGAAGCATGGTTGCTTGGGGAGAATTTTAATGTAATACTTTTGTCGTTTGCAACTAGTTCCTTTTTGGTCTTTCAAAGAGGATATATATGTTTTGCTCTTTCTTTCAGGTCCCTGCTAAACCAAACTATAGTTTGGTCCTTTACTATGCTTCTGATAGGCCCGTGAATAAAAATTCTTTATTGGGAAGATTTGTGGATGGAACAGATATGTTCCGCGATGCACGATTTAAACTGATTCCAAGTATTGTTGAGGTATGGAATGCTATATTGTAGAGATTTCTACTGTTAATTATCTATTTTATGGTCATATTATTGAAATTCTTATTTGCCTTCAAATTCACAGGGCTATTGGATGGTCAAGCGTGCAGTTGGAACAAAAGCTTGCCTACTTGGGAAAGCTGTTACCTGCAAGTATTTCAGACAAGACAACTTTCTCGAGGTAATGCAACCTCAGTTTTTCTAACTTGCTTGCCTGAATAGGCTGCTAGTGATTTATGCATCTACATTTTATTTTGGTCAAATTATGGTTTATCTACTATGCTAAACTTTATGGTTTAGTCCCTGTACCTTAATTTGGTATAATTTTGTGCCTCTATTTTTATGATGTTATTTGTGAGTTCTAATAGCTAACACCGTTAACTATTCTGGGTAAAATGCTGATGTTGGGCTTTTCTTAAAAAATCCCTTCCAACACACAAGGAAAAAAAATCTTTAACCGGAACTTACCAACTTAGCATCATGAGTTGAAAGGGTGTTCTTAAAAGAGGGGGGGGGGGGAATCTGTGTAAGCATTTTAATGTGAACATTTCACGGTATTAACTATTTGGATCAATTAATGAAATTATTGAAGTGGAGGGATCAAATTATGTCAACTTAAAGTAGAGAGACTAAATCCCAAATTTGAGCACAATAGAAGGACCAAAATCATAATTTGACCTTTTTGTTTTAGTTGTGAAATTAGGCATGTCATCGAAAAATGTGAACAAGTAATATGCAAAACATAACTGCATGAATCAAGTGGGAAGTTAGAAATCTACATTTAGTTTAAAGCATGCATCATGTCTAAAACCACATGAGATCAAGTGAGAACTTTGGGAATCTCATATTTTCTGACGTACACTGGAATATGAAGTCTGCTGATGTTATAATCTTAGAACTTCCATTACAGAGACATGTACTGCAATTATCTTTTCAATACGTTGAGAATTTAATGCCTACCTGGTATCGAACTAGTTTGAACTTGATGATGCTGTTGCCAAATCTTCTCTTATGCAGATTGATGTGGATATCGGGTCATCATCTGTAGCAAGAAGTGTCATTGGCCTTGTCCTTGGATATGTCACAAGCTTAGTAGTAGATCTTGCAATATTAATAGAGGTCTGTGCCTTTCTTCTGCTCTTAGTTTTAAATCTACCATGCCATAGCGTGGCCTTTCGTTTCTGACATAATTTGGGATGTCTTATGGTTGATTATTGTGCAACCGTCAAGTGCATTTTGTTCATTTGCTGTTTGAATCATCTATGAATCTTTGTGGCATGCTTCAGAACTCTGTTGACATTTTGAAATTCGTAACCGTGCTCTATTTCATGACGATGAAAGTACTATAGAAATTCACGCCAGCTAACCTTTAGCAGCTTTATAAAGTTGAATTGTTCCTGCTTTATACATCTGAACCCTATGCATTGACACTTGCTTTCCTTCTGCAGGCAAAGGAGGAGTCAGAATTGCCTGAATACATTTTGGGCACCGTTCGACTAAATCGTGTTAAGCCTGAATCTGCTGTACCACTTAACGATTGAAGTTAACCACTTTGTTATAATCTGGTCTTTAAGCATCTTGTGGTCGTTGTGATGAGTAGGCTCGGATCATAAACGCTTCCGATATGGTATTAGATTATTGTTGAGTTAGCTTCCAAACTAGTAGCATTTGCAGCCCAAATTTTCTTTATTTTTTCAGTTTGCAGCTCACTTTTACGTACATTAAAATGATCATATTGGTTGAAGAAACAAATGGTTTATTTTGGACATTAAAGTTTCCCACAATTTGGGACATGGTTTGGTTGAAGGTGTAATATGTCCTTGGTACAACTTTTGAAGGATTGCTTTTTTTTTTTAAACCACTGTATCCATTGGGATTTCCGACAACCGTTTGTTGAGAGAGAGCCGTGTGTTTTCTTTGCATTTAATTTTATTGTTCAATTTTTACCACGATTTTTCGGTATTTGGATTGAATATAAGATTACGTAATCAAGGTTTTTAAGATGGTCATGATATTACTAATAATGTCAAATTTTGATATGTAAAAATTCCAATAACAGATGTTTCTTAAATAATCATGAAATTTCTGATAGTTTGACCTTAATAATTTCGGATAAAATTTTGAAATTACAAGTTACAAATAAAAAATACATAAACTATAGATCAAGCAAAAGTATTTGCAAGTCCAATGGAACTTATACATGAAATCAACACATTGTTCAACTTGAGATATAGATTTAAAATTTTGTTTAAACCCCTCATATTTATTAATGACTAAAGGTTCCAGCAAACAATGGGAAATAAGGTATCCCAATCTTGGTCTTCTTCTCGAGTTAAGAATAAATATTTTTTCTTATTAATCCAAGGTGAATATAGGATATCATATGTTCAAAAATTCTCAACCATTTGTCATTGAACGCTTATACTCTTGACGTACATGGTACTCTAACTTGAGACTTCAATAAATAATAATAATTCTTTAACCATTGAGATCATTTTATTTAAATAAGCCATCTTTTAACATGGTTTGAATTAAATTCATGCATTTTTTCCTCCGGTTTGACGATTCCATACCATTGTTTCAACCATGGAGCACATGGCCCGTATTTTCTTTTCCGTTTTTACATAATCGACACAACGGCTCCGATGGCATATGCCAGCGGGCCGACAAACACCCTCCGAATCCGATGACATAACAGCTCCGTTTTTACACTTGTTCCTCTCCATTATGCCGTTCCGTATATTATTGTTTCTTCTATTTTCGTAGTTAAACTTTAAGAATAACTAAACAACGAATTCTATCAAGTTTCCTTTGAGAACTTAGATTTCATTTACTATGTGAATTAATATGAATGAAATACACATGTATTTCAGATTCAATATAATATATAGTTGAAAAAATATATAAATATTCGAATTTATCATATCCGAAATTAAACTAAGAGTTTCAAAACATCACTATATACAACTCCAAAATTTAAAGAAATTATCATCAATGTTACAAATCCAAGTTCTTAATTTTAAATTTCCAAACGTTAATCAAGTTATTTTTAATATCAGATGTTGTTAACCAAAATAACACTAGATGTTTAATTAGATAAACTTGCATTACTCATGAGATTTTTGGTAATTTTATCTCATTCTTAATTAACTATGATTCATTTTAATAAATGAATCAAACTCACTCGGAGACCTCAATTCCTACAACACTTTTCCCTTGTCATTAAGACAAAACCTCAATGTTGCACATTTCATTGTGCTTTTGCTCCCAGTCCGCTTTGACGATCAAAGCAAGGATATCCCTAAACATTTCAAATTTTCAGTTTAGATACTATTTTTTTTTTGTACATTCTATTTATGACCTAATTTTACACTCCTTACAGTTTTATAATTTCACTCTAAATTTTTAAAATTTTAATATAACTTCTTAAAAGTTCACACCACTAACATAAAATCTTGATACAACGTGTCCTAATTAACTATTCATAGTGTCTCTAATAGCACTAAACAATCTTAATGCATCATGCAATGCATCCCACTTCAAAAACTAGCTCAAATCATAAAAAATGTGACCTAGTAATTTTAACATAGAAACCAACAAATCACACAGATGAAGAAGATAACTCTAATACAAGTAACTAAAAGCAGAGTATATAAATCAAACCTCAGCTAAACCAAATCATGACATGAAATATTCCCAGTAATTTCATCAAAATCTCACATAAATAAAACTCAACTAACAGTACTTGGACTCATCAATCCAAATTACCTTCTTGAGCTTAGAACCCTAGCTTGGTGCGGCGCCAGTGCCTTCTCTTGGCATTGTACCTGTACGCCAAAATCAAAATTGAAGAAAACCCATTAATAAATGCCACAAAAACGCAACAGAAAATCACAGATTTGAAAACGTATCTGAGAGAATAAAGAAACTATATTGGCCTGATGGTGTTATCGGTGCGCATACGAATCCAGTAAGGGATGGGCCTGTTCTGCCTCATCTTCTTGGCTAGCTTCTTCTTGATCCTGAAGGTCTTGTGTGAAGGCGGTCATATCACAATAAACCATTGAATCAATCAATATATATCAGAGAGCTGCATTTCAAAGCCCGATATTCTTTGCACATAAACAGTGATAATAACCCACCATTTTTCACACAGGAAAAAAGAAGTGAAGAAACTCGTGCTTCAAATGGTTCAAGGAAAATGGAGGATGGAAATTTACCATGTTTGCAAGGTTGGGGATGCGGCGCTAGAAAGTTGAGAGCGTTCCGGGGACGCAGAGCGCTACCGCCAGGATTTTCAGTGTCGAGCGTTTTGTGATCTGTGGATTTCGGTCCAAATTGTGCTAATGTTTTGTAAAAAAATATTTAAGTAAACTACAGAGTCGGTCACCTTTGTTTTAATTTTATAAATGTATATTGGATTCAAAATATATAATTCGTAGTCATTTCCATTTTATTTTAATTAAGATGTGTCACTGAAACGTTAATTTAAGTTAGTTTGATGAAGTGGCACGTGCTAAATAAATTAGTAATCATGGATTTTTTTGTAAATTCAAAATAGTTTAGGGATAAAATATGAATTTACCCATTGTTTCCATATGTTTTCTTCCCAAACCCATCTTCTCCGCTTCCCCTGCTTCAAACCATCTCTTGTGAGACTGTCGAAAACAAATCGTAAAAATCAGGCTTGCACTAATGAACTGGAGAAGATTTTTTATAAATGTTTAAATATATTCTTTTGAGTTTATTCTTATTGAGTAATTAAAGATTGTGTTTATATATGTGTTGTTGTTGTCTATTTAATTATTTCGTGTTTTTGTTAATATTTATCTTTAACACACATCGTTATGTTTTTGTTTAGATATTATTAATTTTATTTTTTTATTAGTATATTTTAAAGAATAAACGATTCAAATTTTGGAGCAAAAAGAATTGTGATATGTTTCAATTATTAACACCACAACAAAATTGGCTCTCTTTTCTTCCTTTCTCTTCTGCTTCTAATATTGATCTTTAAAAAAGTATTTATTAATCTTGAATATTAATTTTTTTGAATATTAATTTATAAAAAAGTATTTTATCTTTAAAAAATAGTTTTATTATAATTTAAAAATAATATTAATTTTGAAAGATAGTATTTATTTTGCGATTACGCCAATAATACTAAAATACTTTAAAACAATAATTTTATCAGAATATAATAAATTATTTAATTGTTTTATTTCCTTTTAATTTTATTATTATTATTATTATTATTATTATTACTCCATATGTTTGTTTTACAATTGTTTGTATTATTTAGAGGTCAAAGATAGAAATAAAAAGATGATGCACGAAGAGTTTCTCATACAAGAAATCTTCTTCACTCAGTCACCGAGAATCCACGCCCTTGAAGCTGCAATAAAAAACACGGGTGAAATGTTAATTAACCATGTCATCGTCTCATTGAGCAGGGCCAAGCCAGGGGTTAAATGGACGAATTTCACTTTTAGTCCCCAGTAACTTTAATAGTTCTATTCAATCTTTTTACTCTTCTAACTATTTTTTTTATAAATATTTTCGGCACCTCGCAGAATTGATTATTTGATTCAAGTCCTTTTGAAATAAAAGTGTTAATTTTAAACCTATGAAATTTTATAATTCTATCTACCCTTCATAAACTTATATAACTTTTTTAATGTTTAGACAATAATTAAAAATATACTTTTTTATTTTTTTACTCAACTATATAAATTAATCGAATTAAAAATATTAATTTGATTTTTAAATCACCAGCCCTACCATCTTTGTAATAAAAGATGGATAAAATACACAAATAGTCCCTAATTATATAATATTACTTTGTTGAGTCATATAACTATTAAAAATTATAAAATGATTCGTCAATTATAAGATACTACTTTGTTGAGTCCTTCAACTATTACAAATTATAAAATAGTCACCTGACTATTAATATATTTCAAACTCGTCATTTTCTATTAAAAAATAACGGTAGTCTGAGATGGAAGTTAACTTGTTGATTGAGATATGATAAAATCTAATCCTATAATCATTTTAGTAGTATTTTGTGGATCAAATATCGATTTATTATGCCGTTAAGCAAGTGTTTGAAACATTATATTGACGAATTAGTACTTAAAAGCAATGACGGTGCCGTCTAACCTGTGAAGACGTTAATTTTTTAAAGAAAAATGAAATTTTTGCAACTCATGAATTGTTAGAGGATCATTTTATAACTTTTAATGAGTTCAATAAAATAACATTTTATAATTAATGATTATTGTATAATTTTTAATAGTTAAAAAACTCAACAAAATAAGTCAAGATCATTTGGGTACTTTATCCTAAAATGATGAGGATAATTTTTTTTTGATTCCCCTAAAAGATGAGGATAAGATGTCGGTAATACGTACCTTGTCTAGAGATTTTCCAGTCGCTATCGTAACCGAGCGCCCAAAAGAAATAGCCACGAATTCCAAGTCCCTGAGCGAAGCCGATCTTCATCGTCGTCGATATAGCATCATCGTACCCGACCCAGACCGAACCAGCATAAGAATATGTGGAAACAGTTTCCATGTCGTGTTCTACTTTACCACCATTCTTCTCGTTGAACTCCTCAATCTCCACATACGTTAACACCCCATCGTCTCCCGGGCCGACAGAAACAGCAGCCGACCCGATCTCGTGAGAATTCGGATCCTTCAGCACCCATGTCTTCCCGTAAAGTGGCAACCCCATGACCAGCTTGCTCTTAAGCAGACCTGCTTTGATCCATGACCGGAGACCATAGCTTGTGCTTATTTTACTGTTCGGGTCATAAAGTGCTGCGTGAGCTCCGGTTTGTGAACTGTCCCAGCTACCATGATAATCGTAACACATTACGTTGATCCAATCCAGGTTTTGATTGATCGACCAAACCGGGAATTTTCTGTAGGTTTCGTCGAGGAAGAATTCGACAGAGAAGTAAACCGCCGCCGTGAGGAGTAGCGGAGCACGGCGGGTTGTTTTCGCCTCGTGGACGATGGCTCGTCGCCATTCAGAAAACAAAACGGCCAGGTTCTGCATGTCTTTCGGGTTTTCAGGGAACTCCCAATCCAAATCCATTCCGTCAAAACCGAATCTCCGGGCAGTTTCTATGGAGGAAGTTATGAAAGCTTGACGTGACTTTGCGTCCGAAGCCATGCGAGCGAAGAGATGAGAATCGGTGCCTCCGCCGCCAATGGAGTAAAGGGTTTTCGGCGACGGGTTCTTGCGGCGGAGGGTGGTGGTGAAATTCGAGAGCTGTAGAGTTGTTGAGGTTGGGATTTCGAATTTGTAGGTGTTACTTGGCATGAGAAAAGCATAGAGAATATGAGTAAACAAGGTCGTGTCTATGGCTGATGGCGGCAAATTTTTCGACCATGATGGCCAATAAGCTGCTTTTACAGGCGGCGGCGACGCCGTTACAACTCCTGATGATATGGTTAAGGATACAACGAGAAAGTTAAGGAGCTGAAAATATGTGACAAAGCCTACCATTATTGCAGGAGGAAGGGTCATGATTTTTATCTAAACTCTCCTCTGTATATAAATTATAATTCATTTAATTTATATAGTATAAAACCTTCCTGATTTTATAGAGATTTCAGATTATTATATGTGTATATATATCAAACATTATTTCATTAATCGTAAAATAACACTTGTTTAGGGTTTGGGAAAAAAACAATAATTCCTGTTTTGATCATTAAATATTAAGAAATTTTTGTTATTCTTTATTTATATCACTCGTGATTAAATCAGAAATAATATGATAATGCAATCTTGTTCTGTTGTTATATAAGTCAATTCATTTTTTTTTTCATTTTATCATCTTTTAAAATTCTTAAAATTACATTTCGATCGCTCCAGATATCGATGAATTCATCTTATTGTCCCCTATCACTCTATAAGATTAGATTCTCCTAATATTTTTTTAAAACTTGTGAAACTTCAACTCAAACCTGATATAAAACGACTTCGATCTACCTCATCGTTGATCACCGTGAAATCATGTTATATTACTCATCTTCTCATTCTCCACCTTTCTATCATTGGAATTTTAAATAAATATATAAAAAGATGCTTTACATCATAGAATCAAATGGGCTTAAAAAACTAAGTTAAAGTTTTTTTTAGGATATTTTAAAAAATATAAAAGAAAGTTTTTAGACATTTTCATGATATTTAAAGAACTAGGTTTTATTTTTAGATGTGTTATACATTTGCAATGTGCTTTGCAGACTTTTCGCTTAGAATGGTGGGTTGCGTGAGCATCAACCCTAAAAAAAGTTGACCAAACTTTGGTTGGAGAATGAATCAGGGTTTAGCCATTTTCCATTGGAATGAAAATTAAAAAGAAAAGGCAGTCCTTGTGTGTGCGCATGATGGAGTTTTGTGGTTGGCAGGGAAAAACACAAGTGGGACTCCTATTTACTGCACTTTCAACCAACTTGTCCCTTGTTCAAATCTCTTCTTATCTAAAACATAAATACAAAAAATATCTTTTGATTTATGGACGCACTCGTCCACAATTTTCACTTGGATGCTTACTTGTTAGCCTTTGATTTTTCAATAGCATTTCCATCAAGCATAATTTGTACTTCTACAGCTCTCATGCCTGCTCAAGTTTAGACTTATTCATCTATTTTCAATCTTTTCTACACTTAAAAATAAAAATCCTCATAAATATTTGAATTGGGAAACGAAGAAAATAAAGAATCTATGAATAAATATTAGACATTTTCTTTATATTTTATATGAATTATATCCCCTAAGATTTTATAATCTTATATCCTCTAAATTTTTAATATAATTTTTTATATCCGCATCCCCTAACACAAATTCCTACGTCCGTTCTTAAAAAAAGACCATATTCTTAAATGAACGAATTTATATTAACAGTACATAAATACCAAACCTACAATTACCGTTTTCCTCTTGAATCAATATTGATTTTTAAGATAAAATAGTGATATCTTTTTATTTCGGTTGGAGTAATAAATGAATATTTTAAGGCATGAGAGGACATTTATTTTCGATTGAAAATAATTAGATATTATCATTTTATCTCTTAGAATTATTTTGTGTTGTTATTTTGAATTAATAATGAACTTTAGAATGAAATTTTAATATTTCTTCATTTCGATTGGAGTAAGAATTGATTGCTTTAAGGTATAAGAGGTCGATTCTTCTCGATAGGAAATAATTAAATATTATTGTGTTTCGTCCTAAAATTCAAAAAATATTATTTGTATGGGATCATGAATTAAATTAAACCCAAATTCGTAAATTTCATTGCAAAAACAACTAATTAATCAACTAGCTAGGTACTGATTTAGGGCGATGTATAGTGCTAATCCTTTCTCACACGTAACCGACTCCCGAACTGAAATTTTGGTAACGCAAACAACAAATTTATTATTTTAATTAAAATTAATATTTTTATTAAAATGACAACTACTTTTTAAATATCCAATCACACTATAATTAAATATTAGTAGCCACTCATTGATTCACGTTTTTTAACATGTCATCAAATTATTTGAAACGAGACTCTTTCAAAAATCATTTCGACAATGGTTTTTACTGATTTTATCTCACTACTAAAATCATCATTGATACAATATTAAATTATTTACAATTCTTCTATCCAAAGTCAGAAATAATTATATTTAAACAATTTATTAAAAAGATTTACTAATTAAACTCGTAAAATTACTTGGTAGCATTTTGTTTATGGTGACTTGTCGACAAGTCAAATTAGGGTCGAAAATTCGCCTTCTTTTAAAAATTAAAACGCTTTCATTTTAAAAAGAGTTTGTTAGTTTAATTGTTGTTTTTGTTTAAAGTTAAGAGAAAGAATCGACTGGTAATAAATTTGACTTCCTGAAAACACACTTAACGACAGTCTATTAAGGAAAATTGAGATCTCGCTCTAGTCTTATTGAGACAACATAGATTGAGTCGGGATTTTCTAAATCTTAAAACCGAGTTGACACTAACGACTATAGTCGTAGTTAGTCCAAATAATGACTGAAATTCAAAGATTGATTTTGGATTGTCGGTTTACTAGAAAAAAAAACAAGTTACATTGAGTTGGGTACTGTAAATTGTAACCGACATTAATCCGAAGTAAAAACCTTATTCAGTAATCAATTGGAATTGAGGCAAAGCGAAACCTGAGACTATTTTTACCATAGTTGAATTTTCATCTTAATTTTGTTCTTTAATTTTCTTTAGATTAAATTCTTTATTTACTTTCAAATCCTTCAAACAAATCACCCATTTTTACTATTAATTTCGCTTAAACTATAATAAAAAACTTTTTATATCAATAGCTCTAAAGTACCTGTGGATCAATCATTCTTTTCTAAACTATCATTTTATTTCTTTTATTTGAGATTAAGGATTATTATTTAACAATAAATCAACACTTGTAACTGATCCTATATACTTTATGTTAATATGAGTAATACTTTTGGTATTTTAACTTCATATAATTAGCACTCACTATACACACAATGTAGAGGGATTTCCACTCTATAATGTTATCTTCAACATCTTTTTTCCACGTGGAAACATGTGGGTGAACCTAGGGGGTGTGCAAATCCGGGTACCCGGAACTTTCGGGTCAACGATTTCTCGGCCCGTGTCCCGACCCGGATGTTACGAGTACCCGGTAACCGGGTACCCGGATTTTGCGGGTACCCGGTAATCGGGTACCCGATATCCGGTTTTTAATTTTTTATTTTCAAATTATTAATTTAAAAAAATATATACACAAATTTAAATGTTCGAAACTTCGAATTACATACTCTAATATCCGAACATAAAATTTAAAAGTTCAAAATACAAAATATAATAATCCATAATATAAATAATTCATTATATTTTATATAATTATATATAAAAAAATAAAAAAAATAAAAACTAACCGGGTACTCGGAAAAACTAAATTTTGTGACCCGGGCCCGACCCGGGAAATGTCGGGCCAGGTACCCGACCTGGCCGGGTAATTTTTTTTAGAAAATTACCCGATTTTTTTAAATCCGGATCGGTGGGTCGGGTCAACCGGATCGAATAATTTTGTACACCCCTAAGTGAACCCTCTTGATTGCTTCCATGAATTTTCTGCAATAAAACAACTATTTATATCATTATAACACTATTTGTGGATTCCAAGAGAGAGGTGAAAATAAAAATCGAAGTAAACGTTTCAAGTAAAGGGCACGTTGATATAGAAATGGTCGGGTAATACTTTTCCAATTCCTTAGAAAATACATTAAATGATAAATTATAAGGGTGATCACTTAACTATTACCTTCTTTTATTGTGACTACGATATTTTAATTTTATTAATTTGATTATTTAATTATTTAAATATTGACAGTTAAGAAACTAGATATAATTACATATTTTCTTAGAAATTTAAACTACACGACTAGAAAAATAATTCTTAATTTATGATGCGTTTTTTTACTGATTTTATCTCGCTATTAAAATCATCATTGATACAATATTAAATTCTTTACAATTCTCTGTCCAGAATCAGAAATAATTATATTTAAATAATTGATTAAAAAGATTTACTAATTAAACTCGTAAAATTACTTGGTAGTGGTTTGTTTATGATAACTTGTGGAAATCAAGACAAGTGTTGCAATAGGTGTACGTGGCTAAATGTGTTAACCCTCCACTTAATTGGATATTTTGCATGTAATAACTAAAATAACACGTGGCATTGACCAACTTGGTTGCCGGTCAATAATATCAGCCGTGGAAAATTAGCCACAATATTGGTCAAAGTATCATACATATTTATTGTGCAATAATAATTAGTCATAACCAACACTAATCTGTCAAAAAAATATAATAAGCAATAAATTTTATATTCGACTTTTAGTATTAATAATTTGGGTGAATTATATCATATATTACTTAGCTTTAGACAATACATTATTTTATGATATTGAATATTTAATTATTTCAGTTATAATATTAAATTTTGATTTCAACTACAATTATATTACTTGGTTGTTAAATTCAAATGATATGATGATATAAACAAGACAATATTGATTTGACTCGACTATTAATATCCAAAACGAAGTTTTAAGTACTAAACTTTAAAGATGTATTGATTTTGCCAATGCACTTTAAAAGTGTTTAGTTTTAGGCAGTGGACTTATTCAACCGTAATTGGCAATCAATCGTCGCCTTTCATTCATTTATCATCCTTTGCAGCAATATCAGTATCTATATATTCGTATTTCACTTCTCTTTCTTCTCCTAATATTATTTTTTTTACCAAAATCACTCAAAATCGACAAATAAATAAATAAAAAACACCATTGTACTTCTATATCCCAAGGATGATCTTTAGTCCCAAGTAATCTTTAGTCCTTCGAATGCTCCTATATCCCAAGTAATCTTTAGTCCTTCGAATGCTCTCCAAAGTTCAGCCTCTAGCGCCGAGTAGACTCCAATGTACTTGTTGAACCCCAGCTTCCACCGGCTTCTATTGTTCCTAATCAGTCCCCGCATGCTGCCTCTCCATTGCTTCTATTGCATGCGCATCAGTACTAATTTTTACCCATCCTATCGGGGGAGGTACCCAATTTGCTTCTTGGCGATGAATGTAACCAGCGTTGGCTGTAGTTTCAACTTTTAAAATTAAGATGGTTAACTTTGCTTGGAAATTTTAATTAACATTTTGGAGTCAATAAAAACCATATAATACATTTTAAGAACAAAAAATAATAGGATAAAATATAAAAGAGGCCGTTGAATTATATTTAAACGATCCTTTTAGTCATTGAAATTTTAAAATATTATAAAATGGTCATTAAATTTATCGAATTATTACAAAATGATCATTGTAATGTTATAATAATTAATAAGTGTAAAAGTTTGACAAACTTAATGATCATTTTGTAATAGTTTGAAAATATTTAATGATAATTTTATAACGATTCGATAGAATTTAATGACCATTATAACTTATCGATAAATTCAATAATTATTTTATAAAATTAAAAATTTAATGATTAAAATAATCATTTAAACATAGTAAATCATCTATTATTTAGGTTCCAAAAAATAACCTCTAGCCAAATTACCAAGTATACAATTAATCGTTACAGAATTGCAACATAACTCTTCACAGTCTCTGAAATCAAATCCATTCCAAATTTAAAATAAATAATATTTTATGAAATTAGCAAGTATATAAGAAATCTATAACGTATTGCGAGCATTAATGTCTTGGAGAGTAATATAAATGGCACCTATACTTTAACTAGATGTCTAGTGTGGTACTTTTACTTTTATAAGGTATATTTTGATACTTAAAAGATCAATCCATGTATTATTATAATACACGACGTTTAAGAGTGGTAAAAGTCGAGCTATTTGTGCAGGCGTGTACTTACTCAAGATTATGATTAAACACACAATCAACGTCATAAATGACTTAATTTGCAAGTTATAAAATATCATTTGTTATGTCACTGTTTCATCGTTCAACATAGGTAAATAAGTCATGTTTACTTATATCATTTTTGTCTGAACTGTCTTTAATTTTTTTTGAATTTTTTTAAAAATTTTAGGAGTTATTATCGACTTTTACGTCATGTAGGTTAAAATTTAAAATACCACTTTAAATAAATTTTAAAAAACTACTTTAAAAGGCAAAGTATGTCTAGAAATTAATTTTTAAAAGGGTTCAAGAATTTATCATGTGTGATAAAGTATGAGTTTCCCTATAACGTCTGAAATTGTTGGGTCTTCTAAATGTATTCATGAAATACTATAGCATTTATTATATATGAGAAAATAATTATTCTAACATTTTATATAAGAAAATTATTTTTTCTAAAACCTGACTAAATTTGCCGAACTTATATTAAAGAAACAAATATATATACATATATATAATTAAATAATAATAATAATAATTTAAATAAAAAGTTGAAAAAAGGGGTCAAAGTTGCAGGCAGGCAGAAAGACAGATGTTACAAAAACATGGGCTGAAACCAGAAGCCATGTCAGTGAACAAAGCAAACAAGGGAATGTCTGATTCTGACAATTTCTTCTGATTTCTTCTCTTATCACCCTTCCATAACCAAAGTCTTTGACCAAATCTCAACCGTCTATTTCTACAATTTTTTATTTAAAAAACTAATTTATTGATTATTATTATTTTATTTATTATTAATATAAAAGTAAAATTATTATTTTAATATAAGGTGATTATAAATTAATATATAATTTCTAAAAATTCCCAATCATTTGACAATGAAAAAAAATCCTTCTAATCTCTTATGCTAGATATTAATTTTAGAAAATAATTAAAAAATTAGGTAAAACAACTTTAATCCAGCATTATTGGTTTAATGAAATCCTTTCTCTGTATAAAAGTTATATTACATATGCACTAGATTTTAGGAACGACCCATTGTTTTGGATAAAGATAACATTCAACCTAGAGAATTAAAAGACAAAAGTACCCTTCATTTTGAGCTTGGATTTGTTTTTTAGTTAATAATTTTATTTAACAAAATTTACTTTATTAATTATATTTTCTTAAAAAATGTACATTATTGAATACATTATATTAATGTTTTTAATTATATACTAATTAGGGTTTTTAATATATTTTTAAAATTATCACTATAATTTATCACAATATTAATTAAATCATATTCAAATAATATATGATATGAAAAGTTACATAAAATTTGAATTGAAGACATAAAATTTATTTGGATTCAAGCAAAATAAAAAAAATGCATATGATATATTTGGGTAAAGAAAGAAATTGTGTATCCTATTTTTATTTGAGAACTAGGGTATTTTATTTTATTTTTAAAAAGTGTTTCTGAGTTATATAATTTGAAATTTAATTATTTAATATTATTGTTAAAAATAAATTTAAATAAATAAAATATTTATTTTATGTATTATTTTTTGAAATGTAAAATATGATTAGAAAAGACAATAGATAATTTTGTTCAAAATTACCTTTAATTTTTTATATAATTTAATTTATAAATTTCATATTTTTTTAACAATATTAAAAAACAAAAAAACATATTGTTAGAATAATATCTATTTAATATTTATTTATGTAAATGACACCTAAACTGATTGTGCTTTTAAAAATATGTCATTATTGATGTGACAAAGATTTTGAGTAAAAATTTTAATGCTCCTACCATTTAGGATAAAAAAATAAATAATTAATAAAATTAATAAAAAAATATAATTTTGTTAAAAAAACTCATACGGTACGTGTCCATTTGACAAGTACAAATTAATTAAATAATAAATGCGTCATACATATATAAGTTTTATCTTCGATTATTTAATAATTATATACTTTCAAAATTTTATATTTAAAACCCTTAAAAACATATCTTAATAAATATAAGATTCAAAATCCTCATGACTAAAACTGATTGATTTTAAAATATCAAACATAAATTTTAAACTTAATACAGTATTAAAAAACAATTATAAATATTAACATCATTCATGAATATTTTAAGAAAATTACGGAAAAATCAATCCTAAAAACAAATAATTAGTTTGCGCGAGAAAGGGTAATTTGGACATTTTCGAAACACAAAATAAGGTGGTGTCAATCACAGGGGAGAGGAAAAATATAAGCCAGGTAGATGGTGACGAAGACAGCCATTGGTTCTCGGTTCATTGAAAACAATAAATAAAAAAGGTGGCAATATTTTCTAGGCCTCTGTTCTTTACCAGGAACACAATTGCAGCGCTCACCCGTTTAGATCGGATCCATTCTCCCTTTCATTTTTAATCCCTTTTTTCACCTTTGAATTTTCGGGATTTTCCATCGTCGTCCCCACTAAAAAATCCCAACTTTATGTTCATTGCATGCGTTGTCCAGTTTCATATCTGAAAAAAAAAACCAAAAAAAAAGAAACTGGTTTTTTCTTCGGTTGGTCTGGTCGTAAATGGGGAATGTAACGTCGAATGTGGCTGCAAGATTTGCATTCTTCCCACCAGACCCACCGACGTACCAGGTTATCAAGGAAGAAGATGGTCGTCTGGTTCTGCAAGGCATAACCGCCGACAAGAACATGGATGTTCATGTGCTCGATACCAAAGGTGGTAATAAAATCATCGCCACATTTTGGAAACATCCCGTCGCTCGTTTAACCATCTTGTACTCCCATGGCAATGCCGCCGATTTAGGCCAGATGCATGAACTCTTCATCGAGCTCCGATCACATCTTCGCGTCAATATCATGAGGTATTCGACCTATTAACTGATTAATTCGAATCGGATAAAAGTCTGTTATCGTATAATAACATTTTGCTTTTACAGTTATGATTATTCAGGATATGGAGCATCTACAGGAAAGGTAAATGAATCATTTAAGATTGTTTAATTTCATTATTTAACACGAAATGTTTGCTAATACTTAATCGATATAGCCGACCGAATTCAACACGTATTACGACATAGAGGCAGTGTATAATTGTTTAAAGAAAGAATATGGAGTTAAGCAGGAAGATTTGATTGTGTATGGCCAATCTGTGGGGAGTGGTCCGACTCTACATTTGGCTTCTCGGTTAAAGAAACTAGGCGGAGTCGTTCTTCACAGCGCGATCCTTTCCGGCCTTCGGGTCTTGTATCCTGTTAAGATGACATTCTGGTTCGATATCTTCAAGGTAAGTTTCAGTATCGGATCGTCGTCGTAAAGTTCTAAACTCGCCCCCTGTCGATTTCGTGTTTGATTGAATGATGTTTCGAATCTTAATTGCAGAACATCGACAAAATCCGGCATGTCAACTGTCCGGTTCTAGTTATTCATGTACGTAATGTTCATCTCAACTATGTCCCCTGTCTCAACCATATCTTTTTATGTATATTTTGTTGATAAACGCTTTGCAGGGAACGGATGATGAGATTGTTGAATGGACTCATGGGAAGAGATTGTGGGAACTTGCCAAGGAGAAATTCGATCCCTTATGGGTGGAGGGCGGCGGCCATTGCAACCTCGAAACGTTTCCGGAGTACATTAGGCATGTGCGCAAATTCGTACAGGCGATGGAGAAGATTTCGATCACGAAACCGGCTAAACAGATTACGTCTGCCTCGAACATCGCGGAATCTGAAGGCTGTAAATGCTTGAGATTGAAGACGAAGCGAGCTGCCTCGAAGAGGGAATCGTGAATTTGAACTTATATAGTTTCGTTTTCTTCAAGTATGTTGATTTTACTTTGCTTGCCTCACCCAGAATGAGTTAAAGCCGGTGCTTGATCTGTTTCTCTGAGATTTATAAACCGATATGTTCGATTCGGATTTGGGTTTGAACGAGCGACATCCGTAGGGTTTATTGTGGTTCAATCATAAAATATATTCTTCATGATCTAGAATTTCATGTATAATGTTACAAAGTTGGTTCTATGTAAAAACTCAAAACATTTAGGGACAAAACATCCCATTGATTGTGCTTGGTGGCATATGTAAAAGAAACAAATCTTGGAGAAGGACATGTACATGTATTAAGCTTACCAACCTCCATTGAAAAGGACCCAAAGTTGCATAAATTGTTGAATTCACCCCAAGTCTTCAAAGGACCCAACCCATTATAATGCCTAAAGAATTCAAAACTTCATCTCGATCTCGATATAATCTGATCTGATATAACGAAAGCATAAATCGATTTGTAACCAACCCTAAAATCTTTGATAAAAAATGATTTGTCATGTTCCGACCCTGAAAATTTTAATAAAAGACCTTAAATATGCTATATTAAAATATCTATAAATAAGAAAAGGACATAGTTTATCAGGGTGGGACGAGGTGGGTTTCACCTAAACCGGCCTCAGAAATTTTACAAAAACCCAGACCTTTGATTTCGGATAAATTATCTCGACATCGGGTTTGAAGCCGTAAGGATTGTCATCCTTATTTTCAGTCGAGTGTAAAAGAGTTAAAAATATGATATTTGTCTTGAGGTTAGAAAAAATAGTATCAATCATTTACAGATCTGACATATGTAGACTCTAAATATATCAAGATCTATATAACAATCAAACATCGAAAAATCTCACTAAATAAACATCTTTTTCTTAAACTAAAAATGTTGTTTGTGAAGAAATAGAAAGAAGAAGTTTTATTTTTTATCTGGATAAACTTCAGACGTTATACTATTTATATAATTAAAATTTCAATTAAAGTATTGAGCTTTCATTTTGTTTTAATTATATCACTCGATTGTTAACTCTGTAATAGAAAGATGACTATTGATGTAGATACTACGTTAATGATATAAGTGGTATATTGGTGTCGATGATATATACTGTAATTTACCCCTTCTTGTTATTAAACTAAATATACATTTATGCTAATTAATGTTCCAACAATTTTTAGCATTTTTATTGGATTTTCAATAGTTTTTAATTATTATTTTAAATGGAATCAGTCACATTTCTTGTTTTTTTAGAGTTTAGGGTAAGTTGTTTTCCACAACATGCTAAAATATACTACACGTGAAGCGTCATATCTTCTTTCTTTTCTTTTTTCTGTTTATGTAATTATCCTATAAACCCTAAACCATATAAACTAAGAACGTATTCAAGAAGCAAATTGTGAGAAATTTCTTAAAAAAATATAAATGTTCAAATAAAGATTTAATCTTTCATAGATTATTCGTATAAAGATTTAATCTTTTAAAATAATTAAATCTTTATTTAATTATTAAGGATAAAGTACACAAACGATCTTCGACTATAAGATATTGCTTTGTTAGATCTCTTAACTATTAAAAGTTATAAAATGTTCATCCAACTATCTATATGTTCCAAAATTATAATTTTTTGTTAAAAAATTAACTTCCGTTTAAGCTGGAAGTTAACATACTGTGATATACGATAAAATTATATTTTAATAATGTCTACTGATATAGCCGCCATTGCTTTTGAGCAATGGCTAACCAGCATAATGTTTCAAGTATTGACTCAACAATATAATATAAATGAAGATTCAAACAAAAAAACAACTAAAATAGATTAACATTCAACTCAAATGTCTGCCAAAATTTTAATGAAAAAGGGTGTGTTTGGAACATATAAACAGTCGGATGACAATTTTGTAGCTTTTAATAATTCGAGAACTCAACAAAGCAACGTCTAATAGTTGAAGACCATTTTATAACTATTAATAATGAGATGATTCAACAAAGCAACACCTTATAATCAGGGGACCATTTGTATACTCTACCTTTATTTTAAAAGGTAAAACACCTTAAAAGATTAGATCTTTATTTAAATATTTTACTTTAAAAATATTCATTTATATTAAATTATTGAGTAATTGTGTGTGAACGTGTTGCTTTGCTCATTATGGCAGCCACATTAGTCGACACAATTTGCACATAAACAACGGCTTCCTTCTATTTAAAAAAAAAAACATGTGAGCCATAGTTCTAAAATACTAATTACCTAATATCATTATAATGATACTTTATTGTTTTATATCTTATATATAATTTTTAAACAAAACAATTATATATATCTAAGATCTTAAGGTTTAAAGTATTATTATATAATCTTTTTATAATTATCCTCGATTATAGTGAAACTTTTTTCTTCTATCCATGGTATTTTTTAGATAAATTTATTTTTACTATTTTATGATTATTTATTAGTGGTTATATGTAATATGAATTATAAAGATTGTAAGTTGAATTTAATATTGATAAAAAGAAGTTTATTTGATGGAAACTGTGATTGTTTGCTTGAAGTGCAGCAACAGCACTTACGGGGATTAATATGAGCTTAATTTATTGTTTTATTATTAAAGCATAGTAAATTGGAAAATTAAAGAATGTCTCAATTTGCTTTATTGTAGTCATTAATCTCACAAGCCTTGTTTAAAATTGTGGGACAAGAGTTGTTAGAAACAAACGAGGTGGTAGTGTCTGATCACTATATGCAGTGGGTCAGTTTTGTCGAGGTGTGATTATGACATAAGACCAACTCAACAAATCCCATCACAAAAATCATCATCCAATTCCATTCTTCTTCATAGAACCCAACTTCTCAAGTTAAAATAATATATTATCAGATTCAAAATTATGTATCACACACTATGAAGCATCATATCATCAAAATAAAAATAAGTTAATGATATCAAATTCAAAGATTGAAATACCTGCAGACAAAATATGTAACATCCCAAAAAGCGGGCTAGTGACCAAAATGTAAATTTTGAAAGTTTAATGGTCAAAGTAAAAATTGGGAAAATTTTAAAGACATAAGTAGTATTTTGGTACTTTTCCCAAAATAATTTATTCCATAAATGGATTTAATTAGTGACCAAATTATAAATTTGTAAAGTTTAATAATCAAAGTATAAACTTTGAAAAGTTTAGGACAAAATGGTAATTTTAAAAATTTACAAATTGGTCACGAAAATAAGAAAATAAATATATTATTTTTTACATTTTTAAAATGTTAAAAATAATATTTAATGGTTTAATTCCATGTTTAATTTGGACCTTTGGATTAAAGTGGCAGATTATAATTTTTGAAATTTCAAGGGAAAAATGGTAAAGTGAGAAAATATTTTGTTCATCTTTTACTATTGGAAGATGATAAGGCTGAGATGTCTTTGTTTGAAAGATGATAAGGTTGAGGTGTATAGTTTTAAAGGTAATTATAAAGTTTTATTAAGGATAAATTGATATTTTCCAATTTAATGAATTTAATATTCATTAAAGGATAATTTAAAGGTAGATAAGCATGAAAAATATCTGAAGTTTCATGCCAAAGTTGTTTATCATCTCTCCATTGCCGTGAGTTTTCAAAGGTAAGGGAAAAATATTTGTTTTTATTTTTGAGCAATTTTCTTTGGTTTTCGAGTAATGCCGTGAAATAGAAAATTGTTCTACGCGAAAAATGCTATCATTTGGTACCAATATTTCTTTCTAATCTTGCTGGATTTAAAAGATCCCAAATCTAAGGGTTTATGTTCATGATGAGATTCATGAAATTGATGATAAATCTTGATGAATTAGAGGTTGTATATTCATTTTCAAGCTTGATTTATGGTTAAAACATATTCAATCTTTCTAGAAATTATTCTTTAAATTCGGTCAAAAGAGGAAATTGTAGAACTTTGTGTTCAATGAGAGTTGATTAGGGATTTTATTGTAGAGATGTTATAAGCTTGATTGAAAGTTGATTTCATGCTTGAATCGAATCAAAATCGAATAAAATCATGAAAACATGGTTTTAAGTGTTAAAGTATTCGACCATGGGTTATTGGAGTGAGAAAAATTATGGAAAAATTTTATAAGGTCTGAAAATGATGTAGGAAGTATTCTAAAAGTCTTACAAAAATTTGAGGACCATTTTGTAATTTTTGAAAAGTTGGGGGACCAATTTGGTAATTTTAGAAAAGTTGGGAATGGTTATATAATTGTTTAATAGTTGAAGTATTATACTGTAAATTGTTGTTTTGGAATTGAAATAAGCGTTTAGATGTGAAATATGACCATTTTAGAAGTTTGAAAAGATTGGTGATTTAAGTGCAACATTTCATAGTTGGGGTGCTTAAATATAATTGTATCTTTGTAAAAGTAAGTGGTTGGTAATAATTTCAGTACTGAATTTTTGGTATTTAAAATTTAAGTGATAAAATGGTGAATGACCATTTTGTGTAAATTGGAAAAGTTGGTGCCAATGTTAAAAGGAATTATTAAGTGTTAAGTATTTTGATAGAAAATGAGTTTCAAGTATCTTATGGATTTTGTTTTGTGGATGTGTTATGTTAGTACAATACTAACATATGTATCGTTATGAAATTGTGATTTGTACAGATCGTGATTGATTTGTGACTAAGACAAGTCAAGTATAAAAGGGTTGTTGTGGATTATAGTGAGAAATCTTTTGGATATATAAAGTGTCAAGTGAGTTGAAGTTTAATTTGTACTTGTGTTATAGAACGAACATTGGCTTGCGATGAGCCAGTGACGGAGTTACTATGATAAGAAGTAACTCCTAAAATGTTATTTGATTTGTGATGCATACATAACATTATACATGGATGTTTTATACATTGGATAGGATTTGTGTTAAGTCTATTTCCCATATTTGAATGCATGATTTCATAAGTACAAACATATGATTGATATGATTGTTATCTATGCATGAGTACATGAAAATGAGAATATGTGTCACATGTTATTCTATGTGATCACGATTGGTGTGAATACATTTATATGTGAGC